ATGGTGAGCAGTGCTCAAACCTAAGGCTAGGGACAAGAAAATGTATTAGTTAGTGTAAGGTAAATGAGAGAATACAGGAGCTTACTGACCTAGGGACAAGAGGTCGAAACTGAGGTCCCTAGGGCAGCAGAGGCCGGCTTATATACATGGGGAGATTAGGGCAGGCTGTGCACGTTGGTCCGTGCGCAGCTGGTCTGTGCGCAGCATGCCGACGCGGCCACGGGGGCCGGTGAGTCAGAGCGGCTGTGTCAGCGGGGCCCGAGCTGTGCCGTGCGCTGCCGCCCCATCTAATCTAATCGTACAGTAGATAGTGACGCGTCCATATCAGGCAGGTAGTACAGAGGTCGCGGGTTCGAGCCCGCGAAAAGGAAAAAAATTAAAAAACGGCTAGATGCCGTACCAAGTCGTGACAGTCTGGAGGGAGATCTACTCGTGCTTGACTGGGCTCGGCAACAGTTTGGGGAAGGCGGGAGGTAGGGGAGACAGGGCGAGAATGCCGTGAGGCAGATCGAGACGCGACGGTGCTTCGGGGTCCGAGCGGGTGTTGCGCTCGTCGGATCGCCTTGTAGCGCGGGTAATCTTCCGCGATCGATCGGGGTGTCTGGTTCGGGCACGGCTGCTGCTCACACCGGTAGATGACAGTCTCAGGGTCGTCTGAGATGTAGACGTCGATGAGGTCCTGCGAGTCGAATGCGTGAACTTGGCCTTGGCAGGCAGCCACGTTGGATGAGGGGAGGACGGGGAGGTGCACGTACTAAAATGGCCGTACTACACTAGCTTACGCTACGGCACCCGAGAAGACCCTAAGGTTCGCAGTTCACGTGGGGCCCAGTACTGCTTTTGGCTAGTATGCAGCAGGAACCTAGACCACACGTCCATGAGGACAAACACCGCCCACTGAAGTGCAGGTGTTGAAGAGTTTGTTCCTCTAGGGGTGGCGATGTATGTAAAGCTATCTACGTATTGTATGTACCATAGAGTATTGTAGGGGTGCGCACCACCCGACCTGTGGGAAAGGAAAGTGAATAGAGGGGGTCCTGAGGGGACGCCGGCAGCTTGGGGAGTTTCGACCTAATGTCACGACTTGAGGTCAAGCGACTGGGGAAAACCTAAATGCTGGGGGCGTCCGACTAAGTCTCACCGAAGCGATGGTGAGCTATGCTCAAACCTAAGGCTAGGGACAAGAATATATTAGTTAGTAAGGAAAGATAAGTAGGTACAAGAGAGCTTACTGACCTAGGGACAAGAGGTCGAAACAGAGGTCCCTAGGGCAGCAGAGGCCGGCTTATATACAGGGGAAGATAAGAGCAGGCTGTGCACGCTGGTCCGTGTGCAGCTGGTCTGTGCGCAGCATGCCAATGCGGCCCCGGGGGCCGGTGAGTCAGAGTGGCTGTGTCAGCGGAGCCCGGGCTGTGCCGTGCACTGCCGTCCTATCTAATCTAATCGTACAGTAGATAACGACGTGTCCATATCAGGCAGGTAGTACAGAGGTCGCGGGTTTGAGCCCGCAAAAAGGAAAAAATTAAAAAACAACTCGTGACAGTACCAAGACATTCCCAGCCAAACCCCAGGGTCCGCTGAAGCCAAACGAGATCCCCGAGCACCCGTGGCAGATCATCACGACCAATATGATCGTAGGCCTGCTGAAGTCTGATGGATTCGATTTGATCCTGGTTACCGCCGACCGCTTCACCAAGCAGGTCCACTTCTTGGCCTGTCATGAGACCCTGATGGCAGAAGGTGTGGCAGACCTGTACATCCACGATGTGTTCAAGCATCATGGGGCCCCGGCCAAGGTCATATCAGACCGAGGTCCCCAGTTCGCTTCGAAGTATCTCCATGCGGTGTACAAGGGACTGGGAATTGAGCTGGCGCTGTTCACAGTGTTCCACCCCCAGACTGATGGCCAGACTGAGCGCTGGAACCAGGAGATCGAGCAGTACCTGCGTGCTTTCACCAGCCACCGGCAGGATGATTGGGCAAAGCAGTTGCTGCTCGCAGAGTTTGCACTGAACAACCGAGTTCACTCCGTGACCGGGCATTCCCCTTTCTTCCTGCATCAGGGGTACAATCCTGAGATCCAAGTGCGGATCAATCCAATGTCTGCGATGCCTGCGGCCGCTGATCGGCTCAAGATCCTGAAGGAGATTCGCGACAACACGTGCTCTGCGCTCGAGCTGTCAGCCGAGCATATGAAAGTATACTACGACAAGCACGTGCAGGAGGCACCGGTCTTTGCGCCGGGGGACAAGGTCTGGCTTGATGCCCGGAACCTTAAGCTGAAACAGCCGAGCAAGAAGCTCAGTCCCAAGCGCCTTGGACCTTATGCCGTGCGGCGAAAGCTCAGAGACTTGGATTATGAATTAGTCCTGCCGAAGTCAGTGCCGGTGCACCCGGTATTCCATGTCTCCTTGCTTAGCAAGTACACGCATAGCGAGATCCCGGGCCGGGAGCCGGAGGAGCTGCCTGCCATAGAGGTTGAGGGTGACGAAGAGTACGAGGTTGAGCGGATCAAGGATTCAAGAATCTTCCAGCGTCAGCTGCAGTATCTCATCAAGTGGAAGGGTTATGACGACTTGCATACGTCACGGGAACCGGCGCGCAACGTTGCCAATGTGCCGGCCCTCATAGCCGACTTCCACCGGAAGAATCCAAACACCCCTCGCCGACTCAACGCTGCTACCTTTGGTGGTCTCAACTTTTAGCCAATGCCTTCGCCGCTGACTGAAGCACAATGCCGCTCCGGATGGGAGATGGGCAAGGGCGCCTCGCATGAGGTCATGCGCCGTTGAGGGGGGGGGTAATGTCATGAGTGTCACGAGTTGGTACGGCGTCTAGCCATTTTTTAATTTTTCCTTTTCGCGGGCTTGAACCCGCAACCTCTGTACTACATGCCTGATATGGACACGTTGTTATCTACTGTACGATTAGATTAGATGGTACGGCAGTGCACGGCACAGCTCGGGCTCCGCTGACACAGCCCCTCTGACTCACCGGCCCCCGGGGCCGCGTCGGCATGCTGTGCACGGACCAGCTGCGCACGGACCAACGCGCACAGCCTGCCCTTATCTTCCCCTGTATATAAGCCGGCCTCTGCTGCCCTAGGGACCTCAGTTTTGACCTCTTGTCCCTAGGTCAGTGAGCCCTCCATTGTATTCTTTTCTTACCTTACTAACTAATGCATTTACTTGTCCCTAGCCTTAGGTTTGGGCGTTGCTCACCATCGCTTTGGTAAGAATCAGTCGGACGCCCCCAGCCTTCAGGTATTCCCCAGTCGCTTGACCTCAAGTCGCGACATGCAGCACACGTGACATGCGGAGCATAATGCAGCACGTGTGTGGGATAAATGCAAGCTTTGCGTGCGCGCCTAAGTTAAGCACAAACTCTGTCGCCAAACAGGCCCTTACACACACAGTGATGCTCACTTTGGGCCATGATGGGAAGTGAATATACTTGGTCGGAGTCATCATCAGCCCTTCTCGGTCCGGTTTTGCCGTTCCAGCGCTTGTCCATGCACGTGCACATATGTCGACTCGGATGATCCGTCTCCTACACCTGGTCCATTTCGCCGCGAATGCATGGGTGTTACTCAGTATCCACAACACTATCTTGTGCCTTCGTCACATTCTCATGCCATGTAGCCACTCTGGACATCAAAGACATGCTATCGCTGGGCCAAATTTGACCTCTCGCTGAAGCATACTACACCGATCCTTCTCGTCTACTTGTGCGTCTGACGTGTATAGGCTTAAAGGCGAAGACATATCGGAAGATGTCCCCAAGATCCGAGCCAATCGTCGAGGGGAGCTCCTAACCTTTCATGTACACTGCATGTCGATAACACCTGATAGCTGGCGGAACACACTGGACGTAGGCATGGTAGATTTGTCTCGTACAGGCAGAACAGTTCCAGGTTCGTTCTTCGATACGTCTTCATTTTAACTTATCCGCGGGAGGAGCTCATGAACGTGCTATCGAGTCTACAGTGTAGACGAAGCACGATCTGTGAGCAACACGGCCTTTGGTGCTCACAAGATGGCCGGGACCTCTTCTCAAGTCTCTTCATGTCTCGCGCGCGCTGACTCCTTAGAGCAGTGTAGCGGTCAGCTGATTCTAGGCCCTTGCAGTCCTCACCCCTGCTGCATTCTCTGATCCCATCTTCCTGTTCTGTGCCCAATGCATATTGCGTGTATCCTGACGAATGAGGGACTCTTTACGCCATTGAACGGCAACCGTAAGTGCTGCAATTGTCCGGCTGGAACTTCATGAACTAACTTCTAGGCGAATGAAAACTGTGTATGCTAGCGCATCTAGTAGCTTGCAGGACGGTTGCCCCTCAACCGGCCCAGACTCCTGTAGTGTCCCGCTGTTGACATCTTGCGATCAGTCGTTGGCCTTCTCACTGGTGACAACAAACGATCAAATTCTCTCGCGTCGCTTTCTGGGCATACCTCGAATTATGCTCGACGGCTCCTCGTCTATCAATCCTTGCTCTGTGATCAATGACCGCCCCACGATGACTATCCGACGCGGAATTCCCTCACGCCGATGTCCCCTTCCTAGATCCTTGCACAGTATATATGAGGCTATATGCTACCTCTCCGATGTCCTAGAGGGTGTTCGACCGCTTGGTCAACTGGAGCAGTGTCGCTGGTGCGTACATCTATTCAATTGAAGTATATGAGACTCTGGCGGGGATCGAGACTGGAGACAATATAATGAACGGTATTCTACCCAGCTTACATCCAGCAAACACGTAAGGAACCAAGTATACGCGGATCTACTACCGTAAGTATCGATTATATGTCCAACAAAGTATGTCTTTGTTCTCTTATCCGCTCTTGACACAGCCACCCTGACGGTGCGTTCACGCATGTTGCAGAGAATCTCCACCTTCATGCTCGCGTGGCCGGGACAATGTTACGCATTGCTGCAAGTTAGCCTCGGTACGAGCGATCTTCTCTTCTTGTAATCTGTCATCTCGCTGCATTCTCCGTCTCCAATTTGGATATTGTACATTGCCAGTGGCTCCTGGGAGGGGGGGGGGAGTTAGTGCAGACCGATGTCGTGTTAGATGTGGTGTCTTGTAACAAGAATGCAATGCGAACGATCGGATTGACGCAGAACTCTTCACCACTGTACGTTCTTGAAGCAACACGGTGAAGAATGACTGCAGATTATGAATGCCGCTGGAAGTATGAAGATATCCATGTCAGCCAGTAGACATCCTGGAGAAAGAATCTCGCCATCTCGAAGGAGCAGCATGAACAGTATGTGCGCCTGATGAAGAGGAGGCAAAATCGCTTTTGATAAAGTGGACGGTCGAGCCACATCTCATGCAAGACTCCGTGGACCGTCTGAAGTCCACAAGACATATTCTGTGGAATAGGTTAAAATATTTTGAACAACATACATCCACTATTCTATTGATGTTCAATCTCCTGCAAGAAAGAGCACAAAGCAGGTGAGTATATGTCCAGCCTTGTGTTGTACGCTGTGAATAGGGGCAGATATGTGCGTATGGAGAATCGAGCCCGATAGCTCTCTAGGGAAGAAAGCTGGCTGAACCCAGCTCTATAATGCAGATATAGCTGACGCGGGACATAGCGTTCCTCTGGAAGACAGCGTCGTTTGCGAGGAGGGCAATTGTAACAATGGGGGGGGGAGAGTTACGTCTTACTTATTACACTATTGTAGCACTGCTCACTAACATCGTGTCTCCAGGCAAGCCTAACGCAAATCACGAGTCAAAAGCTTAACGGGCTCGAGTACTGGTGCCAAAACTCGCCCAGATGGTCGCCAGAGTTCCCTCGTGCCTCCAGGAAAGGTGTGTTTCATCTGCAACTCGCCTTTGCTTTTGGTCGGAGTCACGGGAGTTGTTTGCGTGGTTGCCGGTGCGCATTAACCGAGGAATATCTTACTCTTCGTGTTCTGCAAATCCTGCCTCGTCCTATTCGGTTATTACCCATACCGTATATTTGCCAGAATAAATGCGTGCAGGAAACTTTGGCAGTCAAGGTGATCTCATGTACGATCCAACATGGCTAGGCGATTTGCATGTCTCGGCTGATGGCAGAACCTGCTCGCCCTCCGAAATTCTACATGACAGGGTAGGAAATAAGGGTGGAGACGTTGCGGTAATTACGAGCTACGAGGACAGTCGTGGTTCGATTAGCGGAATCTCGATGGCGAAAATATCCAGGGTGACAAGATGCGTCCATAGCGAAAAAATTGAATGAAAGCATGTGTGCGCTACCAAGAGGAGATGAGGAGATGAGGTCCAAGATAACGTATAAATAGTCGAATTTCACGGCTGAAAGCACCTGTATGCGGCAGACTGTGTCATACACAAACATGAGAGTAGTTGAAAGAAATGTTGCTCCTGGTTGTTGATATTCTTCAATAAGACTGTTGACCGGTATTGAGTGTCACTAACCTAGACAATATCTATCATGCGCTGGTCGAAACCCTCATCTAGCGCTTCAGCCAAATCGCCGCCGGCAGCGCCTTCCTTGCCAGTCTCCTGCTTGCAAACTGCGGTAGTTGCCGTTCGAGTCAGAGCCTTGTCGGCATCTGAAGGGGACTTTGCGCTGTCGCTAAGGTCAACTGCTCCATCGACTTGCGTCGCATCATTGAGCCCGTCTAGCTCGCCTTCGAGATCGTCGTCAGAGGCCCCAGGCTCATCTTCGAGCATCTCGCCTAAGTTGCCGATGATCCTTGATGCGAAGCTTGAGAACGAGCTTCCGCGGGAGGATATAGTGCTGTCATCAACGTCCGGGCTGGAGAAATGGCGGAGGTTGAGGAAGAAGCGGCATAGCACTACGGTACTGATTCTGTGAGTCGACATCTTTAGAGCGTGTCATCAGTAAAAGAATGTGCACTTACAATTCCACGGGTTCAGACAAGTCGATCAATTTCTAAAAAGATACTGCTCAGTGATTATGTATATTCATCTGAGTAGCACTAACCCCTAGGACTAATTTGACCACAATATTGGCTGCGTTGAGCCCGACTACTAGCCTGCGACACTTTATTATAGTATAACTTCATTGGTGAGAAAATATACTTACGCAAAGTGGACGGTACCTACATACACATTTATAGCAGCACAATCATACTCTGCATTGGTTTAAAGCGCGCACCATCCCGAAATAACACAGCCGTGAGGGATCCTCTGCTGGTCCACGCAGTCACTGCTCGGCTGGCATGTGTTGCTTGCCATGTTGAGACAACAACCAAAAGATTTGAGATGAGGACACATGATCTGCTGACAAGGAAGACTGGGAAAGCAATGAGTACACCACATATTCTGGGGAGCATGCGCATTGGCTGCCTTACATCTAGAGCAGCTCGTCAGACCTCAGCAGATGTGACTGGCCACTGATGTGACATACATGTTAGTCTCGGAGGTAGAGAATGAGATTCCAACGGTGCAATTCCCTGCAATATTATAGACTAAAGACATTCTAGACGTGCTATACTGTGACCAATGCATAATTGAGAGATAGAACATCTACAGTGAAGTACACACTTACAATGTTGATAGCAACTGGAGCAAGCCCCAACATCATTACAATGACGGCCTTCGTCCACCGCCGGCCGTCGATAGCATAGACTCGGATTGACGCAAATGCTGTCAGCCACATGCCATTAGATTGTTGCACCGGAGAGTGAGGGAAGACACACCTGCCTGGGCGAGATATATCCCGCAAGCAGTACCTATGTAGACTAAGTACGAGATGAATCCGCTATAAAAAACATAGTTGAGCATTCCCGTCAAGCATAGTATATGTCCAAATATAAGTCACCCCTGAGGATGTCATGAGCTAGAGCGATCAGGAACAGTATTGACACTCACTTCACATGATGTCATGGTAGATTCAACAACATTCGAAATAATGTTTACAAAGGTTGTGTAGCGGAGAGCTAGGTATAGGGCAGTCGCTCCCGTGATCTTGCGAGACCAGACAGCCCGCCACTCCAGATTGAAGGAGATGATGGCATCATAGACAAACATGCCTAGTCTGCGCATCAGTGAGGGTTGCATTGACGAGCATTGTCATGTACACACTTATACCCACGGCTTTGATATATTCTCCTACCAAGCTGCAGCATCAGGAAGAACTACGTATTAATACATGGAGGAGCACTCGTTGAGAAAGGCAACTTATACATACTGTGAGAATAGGAGGACTTTGGCTTCTTCCATGCTTGACAGAGACATGACAACTAGAATGAAATGCAAACATGCCTGCAACTCACATATATATGCGTGTCGAGAGCAACATCTGTTCATCATGCGAGATATAATATGGCCAATCGCGCGATGAATTACAAGGCGAGGTGAGAATCAACTCGGAAGGCATGGCTTGTTCATATCACCACTTCCTGTCCAAATCAACTAGTAGGTTGAGCTCGGATAAGGATGCCGATGCGACACACATGGACAGATGGAAACACCGGGACCTGTTACAACCTACCTGAACAAATGTTTGCAGGCTACAAGGGTAGTACTATTACCAAGAGGATCGCGTTCATCTAGTGATCAATGTACACGTATATCAGTGTAATTATCCAAGGAAAGTAATGGGGTCAAGGTTACCATGCCACTCCTTTCACGTGATCTGAAACATCAAGCATGAATGATCACATTGTCCTATCGATGCAGGTGAAATGAGTATATGACAATTACTGATAGAGCAACCGCGATACGTAGCGGCGATACCAGCTGCCTGAACCGAACTGACGCACCAGTATTGAGATAACGTGAAGTGATTTGGGCCATTCACCTACGACGAGGTCTTGCATGAGCCAAAACAAGGACTGACGGCGCGTGATGCCACGATATATCGGAAACGGTCGAGCGAGGTATATGATCACCAATCGTGATCAAGGGGGCCGCATCTGTGTAACTGAGGCAATATGTATGCAATCAGTAGAAGATGTAAAAGCGTAGCGTTCTTCGTGAACCCGAAACGTCAAGATATGTCAAGACGAGCCGATGCTACGCAGCCTTCGAGGAAGCTTTATACACGCACGCCTTGCTTGTTTAGCTCAAATGAGACAGGCTCGGAATGGAGCCCGAGTATTCAGTTTTTCCTTTCCAAGCACGTGTCGATAGGACGTTACGCCAGTCGGAGTGGAAACTGGCCCAATTTACATGGATTGAATAGCAAAGGGAGCGCCGACGTCAATCGCGAGGAATAGATTCTCTTGTGCCCGCGTTGTGCCGTCCCTGTGCAGGAGATGAGATACGAGCACAGCGTCGAAAGAAAGCAACTGCAGGTCAACACAAAGATGGTTGTGCAGCGGAAGGCACAAGGTCATGATGAGCCCATGATATGCAGACTTCGAAAGTTCTCTGTATATGCATATAACTTGACGCCTAAATATGCGTCACCCGATCAGTTCAAATGAGGGGGACTCGGGATAGAGTCCACGTAGCTAGTATTAATTGACGGGCAGCGGTCTAATATCAACGGCAGTAGACACATTGAACCGCGGAGAGCCAGCAGTAGCGGCGAGATGTCTAAATCTGTTTACATCCGTGCACATAGGCTGAGATGCAGAACACAGCACCATGCAGATTCGCTGGCGGTGGAAGAGATGAAGTGGTACTGCTGTGACAGATATTTAGTTGACGAGGAAGATCAAGGCAGTGTAATCGCCCAACAATGACCGACGGACATGAACGCCTCCCTTAGAGACACGATGCTGATAGTTGCAAAGATCACTGGTCATGTTTTGCGCATCGCAGTTGCCGGTCGGACCATGTCAGATCTTCTGCAGAGGTTCTGCTTCCAGCGTGGCTGTGTCGACAGGCATTCCTTATAACCTCAGGAAGCAGATACAGGCGCGGTCTCCGAGGATCACCGGCGGCAGAAGAGAGAACGGGAGTCAGCTCCGTGCTGACCCGCGTAGGTGTCCATATAGGTATTGAGTTGCCAATCTGTGGTCGGCGCCCCGCAAAGTGCCATATATTGCACTCAGAACTACGGCTCAAGTGCATCCTCGTGAGTCGATGACGAACACCTGGACGAGGACGGCCAGAGAGCGGGCGTCTCGCGTAGGGCATCATGCACATGATAATCATTCAGGTTCCATCTCAGAAAGCTTCACTCTCCCCTTTAACTTGTTGGTGTAGACGTGTCGACATAATTGGGAGCTTGCATGGGTCACATCTAGGGTGCATAGTGAGACTGCTTATCGCAGGTATAAACCACAGGAGAACGCACCGGAATGGGACGTGTCACTTCTGTGGAAGTCCAGCCGGTTGACGCGGTATGGGGGTGGCAAATGGATTGGGATGAGAGCATGTTGCACAGGATGGGGTGCGTGTTCGGCTGGTGACCAAAAGACTACGAACGGAGTAGGAAGAGTAGTGAACAAACGCACTGTAACGAGAGATCCAGACCATTCTGGATGAAAACGGAATTTTATCAGCTGTCTAGTTGCGATTCTTGGTGTGCGTCACCTCGCAAGATAATGACAACAGAGACGGGTAGTGGTAATATCAACATTGATGTGATTATAGATGAAGGGCGTGTTGGGCGCAACAGAGCACGATTTTCGACGGGTTTATCTGAACAGGAGTAGCGTTCGTCGCTGAGGATGGCTACCAAAAGGCGAATGTAAACGAACAGCTTAACATTGGCGTCGAAGAACACGGAAACACAATCGTAAGGGTTTACAAGTACGACTTCTTCAGTTTCTGATCACAGAGTTCACCTTGAGTCTCGCATAGAATGCCTGTACAATCGAGATGAATATGAATTGGGCGACGGGCATGACGGAAGATACAGTCGAGACCAGCTGGGACGACCGATAGCATCGGCCTTCTCGGCCCGGACTTGCCGCACCCACGTCTCACCCTGTCTCACCTCGTCTCACTTCCGTCAGTTTCCGTCTTATTCAGTTTCTACTTACAACATATAGCTTGTGCCTCATTCCCTTGCTCGGGCGACGTTTCCACTGTGAAATTCAGTGCTCTGCTGTCGTCAAAATCGCATGAGCAACCATTACAGCGCTGCCTCTTTCTGGAGCCTCTCGTTCATAAGTGCGTCTGATCGGTGAAGACAGCGTCCTATGTCTGGAGGACATATCGAAGATCAGAGCCCACTGTCGATATGGCAGGGCTGATACCTCACGTACACTGCATGCTGGAAATACTTGATGGGTGGCAGGGCACATTGGACGTGGGCAGCGGGGCGTTGGTTTGCAAAGGCAAAGTGGTTCCAGGTTAGTTCGACTCCATTTCAGGTTGTCCGCCGAAGGAGCTCATGTGCGCCCCATCAAGTCTGCAGTCTGGACGATCACGGTTTGTGAACGATACAACCTCAACTCCTTGCAAGATGAGCGCTCGAGAATCGATACCGTTTCGCAGGCCCCTTCGTGTCTCACCTGCACTCATTCTTCGGGGCAGTGTCCTCTATCATCGATGCGAAAGTCGCCTAATACTAGACTGTGCGATATTCCAGCGTTCCTCTACCCCTCGCTTTCGCTCGCACCTTATTCTACTGCATCTAATACCTATAGTCTCCATTCTTGTCGAGCGGGGATATCACCTTCTCCAGCATCGAACGGCGATGGTGAGTAATGTGATGATCTGGTTCGGACTTCATCAACTGACTTTCAGGTGAATGAGAACGGTGTGTGTCAGCGCATCTAATAGGGTTCAAGATCGTTGCCTCTCATCCGCCCCAGACTCCCGTAACAGCCGATTGTCGACGTCTTGTGGTTACTCGTTGGCCTTCTCACTGGTAACAGCAAATGATCGCACCCTATTCCTCTCGCATTGCCTCGCGCGTATCTCGACCAACGTTCGACGGCTCGTCATTCCTATGATTTCCTTCTTTGCAGTCGATGACTGCCTCGCAAGGACTATCTAGCGCGGAACCCGTTCACGCCAATATTGCTTCCTAGACCCCCGCACAGTTTATGTGAGGCTACTCGACTCTGAAGTGTCCGCAGTGATTGCGCGAATACATTCAAGCGCAGTTACATGCTCTCGATTCCCTCGTTTGAATGGCGAGGACCTTCACTTCGAATTACCTGAAGATGTTCGATCGCCTGGTCCTGCCGGCAACATTGACTGTACTACACTGAAGCAGTACCTCCAAACTCAAGGTCTGTATATATTAGAGTGATGCGTTCGAGGCCGTCGATGTAGAATTTTCAAGCATGATATGGGTCTTGCCGATGGATCGAGAACTTGGATAACTGGAGTGGTTTCGGCTGCACGTACGTATTTCCGCGTCAAATATTTCATCTATCTCTTACTAGTTCTTGCCTATTCCACACAGTCAACGTTTCGTGTTGCTACAAGTTAGTCTTGGTACGAGTGGTCTTCGCGCCTGTATAATATGTCCTCCCGCTGTATCATCCGATTCAGCGCTTGGTGATTAATATAACATATATGACTACGACATTATCGCCTGCATGTCTCGTACGTACGAGTTGCCAGAGCCTGTGACATCTACAAGTCATATCTGGTCCAGAGTCTCAAAGGTGAAGACTTCCGACTCTTGCCGATCACAGTGCTGTAGATTGATTGGCGAATGTCCGTAGCTCTGTTCGAGCTTGATGTGGATCGCGCAGTAGAGGCACGGTTAACGCAGATGCTGGAGACCGGACTCGCTGGGATTATTTACACTCACCTTCTCGTATTTCTAGGCATGATCTGTCTGATGTGCAATATGTTTACGCGCTTGGTCGGCGTTGAGGAAGTCTTCTGCGTGGTCGTTGGTGAGTGTTAACCGAGATGTTTCCTGCTGTTCATTTCCAGCAGATTCTGCGTGTTCGCACTCGGTTATTGTACACAGTCTATAGTCGCCAGAAGTGAGGCGTGCAACACGGGCAGTCGACATCATCTCGAGTACATTCCAGTATGGTCAAGATGACTGCATGTTTCGATTGATGGCAGAACCCGTCTACCGTCTGACGCTCTACATGACATGAACAGAAAGCAACGATGGAGACGTTGCAGTAAATGCTGGATATGAGCATGGGTGTGAATACGTGGGGCACAATGAAGGAGCGGGATAGAAGCTTATGTACGGACCAAGAGGAGATGAAGTCCAAGAGGGGTGATGATAAATAGATGTTGCTACTACTACTGGAAGGGGAATTATTCAGCAGAGTGTCATACACGAACTTTCCAGGAATAGAGAAGAGCCTTGATACGTCTTGCTTCTAGCTAACGATGTGCTTCAGCGACACCACAGAACGGCATTGAGCATGACCGACCTAGACAATGTCTATTGTGCACTGGTCGATACCCACGTCCGGGGCTGCGAGTGGCTCGCAATCGGCAGCGGGCTTATCGTGGGTGCCCAGCCTGCATGTTGACGTAGTGGCCATTTGAGATGTTGAGGGAGTCTTTGTATTATCAGGGGGACAATTTGTACAGTCTAGGTCTCCCGCGCGGGGGCGCTCGTCTAGCTCATGATCCAATTCATCGTCGAGGGCCTGAGGGTCATTCTCAAACATATCTCCCAAATTTCCAAAGATCGTCGATGAAAGCCCTGAGAACAAGCTTCCGTTGGAGGATACAGCGCTGTCATTGGTGTCGGGACTGCCAGAAAAAAGGCGGAGGTTGAGGAAGAAACGGCACAGGACAATGGTACTGATGCTGTGAAATGACAGATTGAAATGTGTCAGTGAAGATGGAATCAGCGCACGTACTCTTCCACAGGGGAGGAAATGTCGACATTGGCCTACACAGATGTCACTAAGTACTTATACATAGTCATATTAGATGCACCTACACTTGTCAACAATCTGTTTGCAATGTCGGCTGCATTGAGCACAACCACGAGCCTGCGACGGTATACTATAGTATCGAATCACAGGTGGGAAATATGACTCACGCAAAGTGGATGGTACCTGCAAGTATAAGTATGTTGGTGCAGTCACACTCGATACTGAGGTGGAGCACGCACCACCCCGGAATAGCACAGCTATGAGGGATCCTTCACTATTCCAAGCTCCGACTCTTCGGTTGGAGCGTGCTGCCTGCCATGTCGAGACGACGACGAGAAGATTCGAGATGAGGATACATATGCGGGTGACGAGGAGGACTGTGAAAGTAGCAAATACATTACATTCAGGCTCAGGGGAAAGGTATAACAGCTGCCTTACGTCTTGAACATGTTGTCAGACTTCAGCATATGTGAATAGCTTCGAAGGAAACTTACGTGTCAGCCTTGGAGGTGGAGTATGAGTATTGAATGTTGCAAATCTCTGCAGTAGAATACAGGAATGTTTGAGACGCGCCGTACTGTGAACCACACACGAATGAGCAACAGAATATCTACAGTGAGATACATACTTACAATGTTTATCGCAACGGGGAAAAGTCCCAACATCATCACTATAATAGCTTTTGTCCACTGCCGACCGTCAATAGCATAGACTCGGATCGATGAAAAAGCTGTCAACCGCATGTGATAATACTGCTATGTCGGAGAGTGCAGGGAGACAAACCTGCCTGAGCAAGATATATCCCGCAGCTCGTACCCACTTGCACTAAGCTTGAGATGAAGTAGCTAGAACCAACATAGTTGAGCATTCTCAGACACAGGATGTAGCAAGAACAAATGTCACCCCTGAAAATTCCATAAGCTAGAATGACCAGGTAACAGTATAAAGGCTTACTTCGCATGACGGGATATTGAATGAGATGAGTGTTGTAATGACGTTTGCCAAGGTCACGTAGCGGAGAGCAAGGTATAGAGCAGTCGCTCCCGTGACCTTGTGAGACCAGACAGCCCGCCACTCCATATCAATGGACATGATGGAATCATACAAAAATAGGCCTGATTTATGTATCAGTGAGGGCTGCATTTACGAGCATCATAATGTGCACACTCATAGCCGTGACTATGATGTAGTCATTTATCAAGCTGCAGCATCGGAGAACGATATTCATCAGGACACGGTCAGCCGCTAGGTGATATAGTCAGCTTACGTATACTGGAGTAATTGGAGGAATTGGGTTTCATTCATGCTTGACTCAGATGTAACAATGAGAACGAGATGTACAGTAGGAGGTCCTTAGCTCACATATATATGCGTATCGAAGGTGGTGTCTGTTCATCAGGTGAGACATAGCTGTACAGTCTGCCACGCGAGCGAGATACTAATCGAGGTGAGATTCATGATAGAAATCATCGCTTCTTGGCGCATGTGCTTCCTGTTTGCTTCCACCTTTGGGTCCTGATATAACAAACGTAGTCAGATGACGACATTGATACCTGATACAATCTAGCCGCACAAGACGTGACAGACCACGAATGCGGTACTGCTCCGAGGATTGCCGACATACAAGGTTTACTATGTGCGCGTATCCGCAAGGTTGCGGTCCTGAAATATGGTACCGCATCATTCCTTTCGCCCGATATACAGCGTCTGTAACATATTATAACATTCAGCGGGGCATGCAGGTTTACCGAGGATACCACAACGGATTGGATGGAGACCACAATTAGTAGCACCATCGGTGTGCATCGGTCCGTTAAATGCAGCTAGGTAGTCAGATGATGTGAATTGGTATGGAGAGTTCGTCTAAGATGAGTCGAACATAGGACTTGCAATATACGACGCGAAGATGTACAAAAGGAGGATTCGCTGGAGTACAAAATCATCAATCATGATGAAGAGAGCCGCATCAATACACCCGAGGTCAGCCAGCGGAGGATGTAGCCATCGTAACCCTGCATTATTCATCGTGGGCTGTGCGTCTGGTCAACTGCAGGATCCGGTAGATCACGATGGGTAAAATCAGCAAACGCGGCCTTCCGCACGCACTACCATACATGATGCACACCTCGACCTGCTTAACGCGATCCGGAATGGCCACGCCTGGAGCACGAGCAGTCAATTGTCTGGATAGGATACCACGACTGCATGATGAAAAAAGAACAAAGTCTAAATGCATTGAACAACCGAGAGCGCCGACATCAACACCGAGCAACAGATCTGCTGATGTCGGAACGTGTCACATCGTTGCGCGCAGATGAAATACGAGGCATCGTACCAAGGGAGACAAAAGCCATGGAAGGCGGCTGAAACACTATTGTTCCGACAGGCGTTCAATTGAGGGCAACGGATGCGGCGTTTTCGCCCAATAGAGTCCAACGGACGTGCATGTCTCTGGATCACGATCACAGTGGCTGCACCGATCATGAATCACACGCTGCGTGTCACAGCTGCTGTTCGGACCATACCAGTGTTTCTGCAGAGGCTCTGCGCCCATCTGTTCGGGAGTGATGTTCGTCGCAGATTGTAACAGCCAGCATATTTGTGTGCTTCTAGTGTGGCTGCGCCAACATGCACGTCGTTGTAAACTCGGAAAGCAGATACGAGCGCAGTTGCAGAAGACACTGGAACACACCGAACAGAAGAGATATTTGGCAATGTCATAAGAAGACGTTAAGGTAATGTCCAAATGGCTTTCCAGGCGGGCCACGTACTGACTGTATGGATGTTCATATGCAAGTAGGCAAAATCTAGCCAGTAGCCAGTCAGCGCTCCACAAAGCCAGATACAGTGCCTCAACCACATTCTCGTTAGTTGATGATGAACGTCTTGGTGGGGACGGCCGGGGAGCGTGTTGGATTGTGGCGAGAGCATGCCACCGTATTTGGCATTGTTTGTAGTACCTCGCAGACTTTGGGCGAGCCGTCCTGTATGTTCCTTACGTGTTTGACAGAGCTCAGACAAACGCGATATATCTTCGTTAATTGTCCTCACTTCGGTGTGGTAGGGCCAAGTGGTTCACTGGCAAAATCCGCAGGAAGACGTCTTGCAAGCGCGGGTCGCGCGCTTCGCGTTCTGAACCATGATCGCGCTGTCTCGGTCTCCCTCGCTGGACCACCTCGTCAACCTCGCGCCTCCCGAACAACTACGCAATGCATTCCATGGCTAAACAACGACGGTGCGCATCAAGCAGGAATCGGCACAGCATATTGTGCGAAGATCAAGACAATAAGATAAGACATGCGCGTGAGGTGTGTAGGGTCGGCAGAAACATTGCTTGTTCGTTTTCTATCTCTCTTCGTTTTCTATCTCTCTTCACCCTGTATCCTCCATTCTGGACGGCCTGAGCGACGCGGATTGCGCGCGGGACATAGGGTCGAGCACGTGATCGTGCCTCCTCCGCTTGTTGGGGGAGCAACGCGTTTGTAAATAGAGTCGAGACTCATCACGCTGACTCCCTGAACAATAGCCTGCGATTGCATGATGTTTAGTGATGGTACTGTTCATTTTTGGCACACCACGACTGATATGCATGTACTAGACTACTTCATGTGAAGATTACTGGGTTACAGGTATATAGGGAGAAGAAATGGGCCTGTACGAGCTAGCGAACCACGTGCTATTCACAATTCTCTTAATCTAAATATTCGAACATTTGCTGGATCCCAGGCGGCACTTTCGCTTCTCCTCAAAGTCTACGAATCCTCCCAGGTACGTGATCCTCTCTTCGTGATTCACTCCTTCCAGTCTCAGCTAGCGCTGGGGCTATTCTATCATTTCTGATCCCGAACTCTCAGTCCACGAGGAGGCTGTAATAACGTCGACAACACCTGAGTTCAGATCCCATGAGCACAAAACCCCCACTACGACATCGGGTCTCGGACGAACTTTTACACAAACGCGTCACGGCTGGCCATCGCTAACCAAAGCCAGAGTCTCGGGACCATCGAAGCGGAGAACACGCTGTTCTCGACGATCGCGCCAGGGCGACTCCCTGGGCAATCAACGATGATCCTCGATTATCGAAGCCCCGCAGAAGACTGGCGGGCACTGTTAAAAGTCCTCACCGTCGCGAGGCACTACAAGTCGCAGTTCGATGCGCACTATCGACGACAGCTGCGGATCGGAGACCAGGAATAGGTGCGCGGCAGAGCCCAGAGCCAGGGATGCGCCAGGTGAAGGTCGTCGAGGCCGAGGGACTAGCGCAGGTCAGAGGTCAGCGACCTAGGTCAAGGAGTTCGAGACGTGAGCCGGGGGACGGCGGGTTCTCGCCGGAGTGAATGCTAGATGTCCATCCAGCCGCGAATCTTACTGAGTATCCACAACACCATCTTTTGCCCCCGTCACCAGCAGAACGCGAACAACGGCTACGGCGTCGTGCCAAACCTCATCTCTCGCTGAAGCATGCACCGACCGTTCTCGTCTGCATGTACGTCCGACGTGCCAGGTAGGTCTGAAGACGAAGACACATCTCGGAAGATATTCCTGAGATCCGAGTCCGACCGTCGAGGGGAAAATCTTGATCCTTCACGTACACCGCATGCTGCTGGCAGAACACACTGGGCAGAGGCAGGGCAGACGTATTTTGCAGAGGCAAAGTGGTTCCAGGTTCGTTCTCCGACACGGATCCATCTCAGCTTGTCCGCGGGAGGAGCTCATGTGAGGCACTATCGAGTCTGCAGTGTGAACGAACACGATCTGTGAGCGGTACAACCTCTGTCTCCGCGACATGGAAACTTGGAAATCCACGTCGTTTCGCATGTCCTTTTATGTCTCATGCGCGTTCATTCTCCATCGCAATACCCTCCTTTATTGATACTGCGGCTAACTAATTCTAGACCTATACGGTCCTCGTTTTCCAGTATTGTTCCCCCCTCGCGTTCGCTCACACCTCAATCTACTGCGTCCAATACTTATCGCTTCCATTCTTTCGGATGGTGGTCTCTTCTATCGCCGATCATTGATAGTGATATGCTGCAGCTCCACCTTCATGCTCGCGTGGCCGGGACGACGTGTCTTGTCGCTGCAAGTTAGTCTTGGTCGCTCTGTATGAAGTGAGAAGAATGTCACTACGGGAAGCGGCAGTATTCCGTCCATGGCGTAAATAATTATCGCGCAATGGTTGAAGGCCTTGTATAAGACTTTGCGCTCGACGACATTCCCCTTGCGAGTCTCCCACTTAGCGACGGCTTCGTCCATCAGAGGGGTTATTTGAGCCCGAGCTTTATCGGCGTCGGAAACAGATATCGTGGAGATCGTTTGGGTCGTCAAGTTCTCACGTGTCATTGAGGTCGTGTAGCCCATGATTCCAGTCATCGCCAAATGTCTGAGGCCTTCCTCGAGCATTTCATCCACGGTGCCGACGACACTGGGAGAATAAAGTACTATCTTTGACTTCAGGCAGCTATGTGAGTTGCGAAGCTCGAGAGAAACGCGGCCTAAGACCTGCGAATAACACAGCGCTCACTTGAATGTCCGGGTAACGCCGCCAGCCTGGTCTCTCGCAGTACCCCATTCGTCGTTCTCCGGCGCTGTAGAGGGCTCAATTCTCATGCCGCTGAAGGCAAAGCTGAGGATTTTAGTGATCTCATCGTGGGATGCGCGCCAGCTAGCGACGCAGAAGTAGACAGCAGGAAAGCACAGGTTTCCTGGGCAGACAGAATTGAGTCAGACGTAAAGATTTGCGGCGGATGGATTGGAGTTGATGGAGGGAGACACGGCCCGCTAGAGAAAGACAGGCGAGAGTGCAGAAGCCAAGAGGCATTGAGCGCGATCGAACACGGGACAGATCAAATCTCAGTAGAAGTCGCTTCGAACGGGCGTCTATGCCGAGCAATGTCTCATGCAAGAGCCCGTCTGTCGTCGACAAGACATTCTCTGCCTAATAATCCAGAGATCTTAGCGGTTATTGAAGAATGCATATCGACAATCCTACTTGTGTTCAATGTCCTGCAAGGAGAACCCACATCATGTGAGTGTATCTTCAGTCCCTGCTGTTCGCCATAAGAAGTCATTACGACTCACGGCCCGGTGACACATGAGCTACATGGAACATTTTGATCCGGCCTCCATGAAGAAGCTATCCCCGTCCAGAATGTTTCCATGGCATATGATGGCATTGTCGATCTCTGCTCCGCTGCTCGATCGAGACATGTCGGGAGAGGACGGAAGAATATCAGGGCCTCTGCAACGTGAGCCTCAAGTGCTGCAGTAGCGCCAGTATGTCGGTATGTATATCTACCCACTCTCAGTCCTGCCTGCATTTGCAGGTGGCACCCTCATGAACACGCACGTCACGCCAAGTACAGGAGAACTTGCAAACAACGTTTAAGCAGCTGCCTTCCTGACGGGTGGCTTTAGACGCAGTCGCGAGCACCCGTTGAAAGCCCGCTGTCGCGGGAATTTAAGCTTCACGCATGAGATACGGGTGCACAAGAGCAGTCTGGTCTGCGAAGAAGAGCAAACTCGTGCATGTGGAGTATCGAGCTCGATGGCCCTATAGAGAGCTACTCCCAGCACCCTGATGCACATATAACTGACGCGTTATATAGTATCCCACTGGATGACAAGGTCATCGTCGGCGAGGGAAATCAGGAGCGGGAGAGCATCGTCTCTTGCTCATCATCGTGCTGTATCATGGCTTACAAGAAAGTGCGTTTTTCGCCATGCTTAAGGCGGGTCACAGATAATAAGCTTAGTGGACTCGAATACTCGCCAAATGGTATCCAACCACCTCCCCGTATGTCCAAGCAAAGTCCGTTGCATCTGCAACTGCACTTTTAGTCTAAGCCTGAGGAAATCGTTCGCATGGTCTCCAGTGAGCGTTGACCATGGGTTCTCCTACTCGTGCCCTGCACGCTCTGCGTTTCCGCACCCGGCCTTGATGTACAAGGTATAGTCGCCAGGAGAAAGGTGTGCAGAAACCACTGGCAGTCGACTTCCATGTACATTCCGGCATGACTGAGCTGGTCGCACGTCTCGATTGATGACAGGCTCCGACCGCCCTCGTTTATTCTACATGATATGGATATAAAATAAGGATGTAGACATTGCAATACCCTAGACTAGCTATGAGGAGAGCTGTGAGATAGATCAGCAGCAATTCGAGGGCAAGGATATCAAGAGGAGATGAGGTCCAAGATACTAATAAATAGGCGCGATCCCAATGCTGGAAGTGGCTGTTTCAGGCAGATTGCGTCACGTATGATCATGAAAGGAATTGAAGGGAGCTTTGATGAGTGGTGATCCTGTTTGATGCAATATCCTTCAGTAAGACTGCAAATTGGTATTGAGCGTCGCCAACCTGGACAATGCCTATCGCAAGCTGATCTAACCGCTCATCAGCGCCTCCCTCGTCGCTCTCCTGCTTGCAAGCTGCCGTAGTGGCTGTTCGAGTCTGAGCCTTGTTGAAATATGAGGGAGCCTTTGCATTGTCATCAAGGTTGCCTTCCGTGTTGACTTCTCCCGCATCATTGAGCTCGTCTAGCTCGTGGTCTAAGTCGTCGTCAGGAGCCCCAGGCTCGTCCTCGAGCATCTCGCCCAAATTGCCAATGATTCTGGATGCGAAGCTTGAGAACGAGCTTCTGTGGGAGGATACAGTGTTGTCATTGACATCGGGGCTGCTGGAGAAATGGCGAAGATTGAGGAAGAAGCGGCATAGCACCACGGTACTGATCCTGCGAATTAACAGGTTTAGAATGTGTCGTCAAATAAAGAGTTGGAGCACGTACCATTCTGTGGCTTGGGACAGGTCAAGTGTTTCCTACAACAAACATCGCTATATAATAATGCATAATGATGTCAAGTACACAGACCCACTCCCATCAGGAATGTGACCACCAGGTCGGCTGCATTGAGTACAACTACCAGCCTGTGACAGTATATTATAGTATAACATCGAAGGTAGGAAAATAGACCTACGCAAAGTGGACAGTACCTATAGATACGAGTGTATTGACATAATATCACTTCATATTGAGGTAGAGCACGCACCATCGCGAAATAACACAACAGTGATGGATCCTCTGCTACTCCGCGCAGTCACTGCTCTGCTAGAACGTGTGGCCTGCCATGTTGAGACAACAACGAGAAAATTTGAGACGAGGACACATATTCGGGTGACAAGAAGGACTGGGAAAGCAACGAACACATTGCATCACGGCTCAAGAGACATGCGTATCAGCCTTCTTACATCTTCAAAAGCCTATAAGACTGCAGCAGATATGATTGGCTACTGGCGTGACGTACATATGATCCTCGGTAGTGGAGAATGAGTATTCGACGGCGCAATACTGTGCAATATGTGTCAAGACTAATGTAGATGCGCCATACTGAGAATGATGCATGAATGAGCAATATGTTTGTGCAGTGACGTGCCTACTTACAACATTGAGAGCAACGGGTACAAGTCCCAACATCATCACCATGGTGGCCTTCATCCACCGCCGGCCATCGATAGCATAGACTCGGATTGATGCAAATGCTGTCAGCTCATGGAATGAGACTGTTGCAGTGAAGAATGAAGGCAGACATACCTGCCTGGGCAAGATACATCCCGCAGAGTGAACCTGTCACCACTAAGTCTGGAATGAAGTCGCTAAAACCAACACAGTTGAGCATTCTCATAAAGTACAGGATAAGTCCAAAACGAAGATCACCCCTAAGAAGGTATTGAGCTTACATCAAATTGAGCATTATGGGGACTCACTTCACATGATACAATGGTAGAGACAAGAATAAACATAATGAAATTTACTAAGGTCACATAGCGGAGCGCTAAGTATAGAGCAGTCGCTCCGGTCATTTTGCGAGTCCAGACAGCCCGCCACTCCAGCTTGTAGGAGATGATGGAATCGTACACAAACAGACCTAATTTGTGCATCAAGGGGGCTGCATTGACGAGCATTGTAATGTATGCACTCATCGCTATGCCATCAATATATGTTTCTGTCAAGCTGCCGTATCGTGGAAACATATGTATCAACTCATGGAATACCACTAGTTGAGAAAGTCAGCTTACGCATACATGAAGAATTCGACGAATTGGGCTTCATCCACGCTTGCTTCGGACATGACAAATAGAACGTAAAGCAAATGTGTCCGTAGCTCATGTATATATGCGTGTCGAGTAAGGCATCTGTTCATCAGGTGAGATAGTTCATGATCAGATGTGCGAGGCGGATACAAGGCGAGGTGAGATGTAACTCAAAGGGGGTCATTTGTACACGTCACCGCCTCCTGTCCAAGTCAACTACTAGGTATATGGCTCGGATAAGGATGCCGATGACACACACGGACAGATGGAAACACCGGGACCTATCACAATCTGCCTGAACACAGCTTGCGGGCCACGAAGGCGGTACCACTACGAGGATTATGGTGGTCATTTGATGATAAATATGCATGTGTAGCAGCGCGATTGTCGTGAAGTACTGGGGTTGAAATTACCTTACCATATCTTGCATTCGATGTGCAACGTCCGGCACGCAAGATCATATTGTTCTATCGATGCGGGTACACCGAACACATCGCAACAGCAGGTACAGCGACTGCAATACGTAGCAATGGTCCTGGCTCCTTACGAAGAATTGACGCACCCGTATTGAGATGATATGAAGTGGTATGAAGAGCCAGCCTACGACGATGTCCTGCCTGAGTCGAGGCAAGGGCTAACAGTAGATGACGCCAGGATGTACCTGGACAACGCATCTGCATTTGAGTACAAGACCACCAGTTCCAATCAAGAGAGATACATCTGTGTAGCTGAGGTTACCTGTATGCATTCCGTGGGAGTCGCATATGGAGTAGCTAGCATTCACCGTGGGCCGTGTATCGATCGGCAGGATCCGGACTTTGATGCAGCCGGCAGTGAGCAGTCATGAGGGACTTTCCCATGACGAGGGCCTGTCTGCGTCAAGGCTAGAACTGATACCATACGGCTCGAGTGAATATTGAAGAAGGGGCCCCTGATTAAGTACGAGGTCGTCAATGGTGACTACGAGAGCCTCAACTGTGTTCGCCTACGCGTGGTCAGTGGACAATCTCATAGTACTGCACCATTCGTCGTGGGTTGTGCATTCGGCCAGGAGTATCTAGCGAATGATGATGGGTCAGAACAAGCCCATGGTACGCACCCGTCGGGGTAACCCAGTTTGGTACGGTCACTTGCCATGACACCTTCGCATGCCTTGCTTGGTTGGCCCAAACTAGATACTCGGGCTAGAGGCCCAGGACATATCTCAGGACAGAGCAAATGAGACGTTACATCAGTCTGCGGGGAATTAGTGCAACCTACGTGCATTCAACAGCCGAGAGAGTACCACCATCAACCATAAACAATGGATTCTATTGTGATCCATCACATCCCGCAGATGTGATGGTCTCAGTCGAGTACAGGGGGTAGAAACATGACCCAGAGGATAGGAGAGGCAACTGCTGGTTGATACGAACACGATCGGGCAGTGGAAGACACAAGGCAACGCTGCTCCGGCCAGCGCTCAGTTGATGAGAGCAAGCGGGTCGTCGTTACGTGGCAGTGCCAAACGGATGGGAAGTCTCCTTGGGGACTTGATCGGAACATGAGCGTTGCATCTGTCGCCGGGGCCGCAGCTTGCATCGCAATGAACATTGATGTCCGAGCAATGACGGGGAATCTACACGTGCCTCATTGGGAGTCATGCACATTGGAGGCATGATACTAGACTTAAGAGAATAAGCAGACGTGCTTTTCCAAGCTCTATAAATTGGATTTAAGAGCTGGTGTAAAGTTGCATGAGTGATGAGTCCCATAAACGAGTGCACAAATCAGCACCAAGTGGAGAGTCAGATAACATTCCACCCCGCATCCTCGCTGGCTATATATCGACCCGTTAGACCATATGCAACTAGTGCGGCGAGGCCGCGTACCGCACGCTCATGGCTCTACCTCAAGCACAACCTCGTTAGTCAATGATAAACGGCTAAACGAGTACTGCTGACCGCTAGAGAGTGGGCAGCACCCGATGAGCGTCGCATGGGGGACAGATGGCTCCTGTTTAGACTGTCCCAAACGCCAGCGCCAGAGCCCTGTAGTACTCCCCTGTAGCTTATGAGCCTACGTTATGGCCCGTGGGTCGCACCTGCAGACCACGTGCTGCAGGGTGAAACGAAAGACATGAGACGCATAAAAATGAGTGTTCCAGTTCCGCGAGCGTTCAAGGAGCTAATGCGATATATGGACAGCTCGGGTTGAGGAGCGTATTCCACAGGATGTGTTGAGACACTGCATAAAGTGTGCGCAGGGGAGTAGAACGAGGTTGAACACAATAAATGGCTACGCCGCGTCGAAGACAAGAGCACCACGGCGATAACGGCCGAATTAGAGACGGAAGAGGATGTGCCCAGGGGAGATAGCCGAGACAAGGTATTGGTTGAACAAGAGAAGGCTTACCAGATATATGATCTCGTTCCTCGGATGGCAGGTCGCCCCCGTCTTACAAGGCATTGATGGTAAGCACTGGAAGTACAGATAGTAGCATATATCGCATGGGAGTATGCAAACCTCTGCACCAATGTAGCTGTGGAGAAGGTTATACTATGCGTACTGGGCTGCAACATAGGACGCGACGTCGATGTTAGAGGGGTCATTGCGTTGAAAAAGACTACTCAGCTTGTCAGTCGAATCGAGCTTCGAATACGATATGTGACGGAAGAGCTCAGCAAGTACTACTATGCATATATGGCCTCGGGACCAGAATACAACGAGGAGAGGACAGAACAATGTATGCAGAGGTGGACAGCCAGACTTACTTGACAACACAACGGGCAGCGATGCAAGGGTTCAGAGCGACGAAGACAGAAGCAAGGAGGAGGTCATTCGGATGTAGTCGAACTCTTCGTTGTGTCTATCCGAGAGCAGAACCATAGAAAGTCCTAGCAACGTACAGAGGCGCAGAGAGGACATGAGCGTCTGAAAGCTTGAAGACGCGCGTCATTACCGCCTCGGCCCGGCCCGGCGTCCCGCCTCCTCTGGACCATCCCGCAATACCCTCGCCTCGTCTCTGACTGTACAGACCGTGTTGACGCGGCGTACGTCATTTTGCTGTTGCTGCAACATCGGCTTGCGTCTCTCCTACACACGCGACATCTCAAGATCTCACCGTCGGGGCTCAGGCGCTTACCTGTCGATAGCACTGGTCATTCTGTTCCGTCTGCGTTAAGATACGGTGAAATAGCCCGGGCTAATTAGCCTCGGTTAATTAACCCTTGCTAAAGAGCCGTAAATTTGGCGAGGCCCGAAGAACAAGGGTTAAATAGGGTTAAATAGGGTCAAGTGACCTGCGCTGATTTTGAACATGTTCCGAACGCAGTAAGAGTTAAGCCTTGCGGTTGTTATCCAGGAAGACCAGTAATCGTAGTTTCCGACCTCATCAACGTCAACGCGCCATTTCGGAAGGACATTCTTGCTAACGAGTGTCCCGAAGTACCGCGTTGGGACTAACATAGAGTAGAGCATGTATTGAATTTGAAGGCCAGTGACGGACCTGGGATGAATAGTAGCAGCTGCGTGCTGTCCAGGTGTTCGGTCGCTGGGCAACTTGAACGTTATATAAGGCTACTTAAGTAGCTAAAAGTTTTCATTAGGCCATATTCCATACTGGCTAATCAGCCGTGAATTACATAGGTGAATTTGACCCCTCACACAGGCCTAGGCTAATTAGTCGCTTAAGCAGGTCACCGTACCCTAGTCTGCGTTATTGAGGTGGACACACTCTCACGGCGACTTCCCTTTGCAAAATGTCTATCCCCGATTCCAAGAGTAACCGCCGAATGTAGAGCTGAGACTAGTGTATGTTCATCCCATGTATAAATCTGTCTTACCATTGATGGGGAGGGGACGTAGAGGGAGCTGAAGCTGCGGATGAAAGACGCGTTCCTTGCGACGACGCTATTCCGGCTCACCTGGGCTAAGAACATGGAAGCAATGAAGAATGACTAACTGGTGTCCCATCGCAGGTCGTCAACTGTTAGTCTGAGTTCTCCAAGGAGACGCCGTACATAATCATCCTTCACTATGGTACTCTCAGTAACAACTGCATATGCATCCGCACTGTACTCCCAGTGCGGATGATGCCTTCGCGTCGTCCAATATGGAGTCTGCAGACCGGGAGGCGACAATCTGGTGAGTGCCATGAACTAGAGCGATGCCTCACTTGCACGAGCCATAGATCCAAGTATCGAACCGGCGTTGCAAATCCTGTTTTACTTCGAGTGCGCCGGGTCAATTCCCTCACCGAAGCAGTGGTCATACAGGCCCAGTACTGCGCAGCAGCCGTCCTCCGAAGCCCTCTGCTATGTTCGCCGGATGAACCCTCCTTCCACACATCCACGTTACGCGTCCAACACGTCTTGCGTGTAGCTCTAAGAGCAATGGGCGCGTTCCATAATTGTATGCCAATGGTGGGTACTACCATGTCCGTTTCACGCTCCCCGTGCTGACTTACAGGTGGGACGGAGGACGCGTTGTGTCAGCGCACCTCGGCCCGTTCTAGTGAAGGTTGTCTCCCGACTGGCGCGTCCGCTTCCCACAACCTCTTGCTGTTGTTGTCATGCGCTTGCTCGTCGTGGCACGGCCTTCCCGCTATTCAGAGCACGCGAACATGCATCTCACTGGCCCATACCTGCCTCACCGCTCTCTTTCGTCCTCCACGACGCTCGACTTACCTGGAGCGTCACTCAACTGAGATGGGTCGGCCTGCGCGGCATTTTCTCCAGTCATGCTGGCTAATCATAGGCGTGCCTCACAGCCGAATGTGGTGGCTCACGTGTAGCCTCGTATCGCTTGCTTCCATCTTCCTGCTCCCCGAGGGCTACTGTGGTTTTCCTTGGCTAACGAGGCGAACCTTCTCTTTGTACTTGTTTTGAAGAATACTCAATGTCTCAGATATCCCCTCATTCTGCAGTCGATGCGGCTCTCTCTCGACCGGCGAGTCCGCTTCGCGCTACCTTTCGCTGTTGATGTCGTGCGTTCACCTGTTGTGCGACGGCCTTCTTGCTAGTCACAACTTATGGCCACGCAGCTCACCAGCATGCTATCTGCATCACAGCGCGACATGTCTGAGGCATCCTTCACAAGTTCGCGCTCAAAGTTCAGATGGACAAGCGCGCAAGAGCTTCACCTAAGTCACGCTCGACCCAATCGTGGGCATGTCTCACAGTCAGGCGCGGTATCTTGTGCGTGGTCTGGTCTGGCTTTCTTCATCACGCTGTTCCCTGAGGACTATTGCGACATCTCCTAGCTGACGAGAGTGACCGCATCTTTGTGCTTGTCTCGAAAAACACTCGATGTCCCAGGTAGTCTCTCATTCTGCAGGTTATGCGGCTCCCGCAAGCATACGTCAACTCCTCGATCCCGACGCTCTGCGGCGTCTCGGACAGCTTCCACTTCCTCTATACTGCAAGCCGCATTCAAGTCTCGTGAAGATGCTATCGGTAACCTCGGAGCCTCAGTATAATTCATGCGATGATTTTATTAACAACGAATTGAAACCTTCCGTGGTGTTTCGTTCCCTTCCAGTAGGTCATCATATCAGGCGTCGAAAGTAGTGCTGCAATGCGTGTACACTTCTCTATGCTAGTGCCTACTCCGGACAAGCTGGTGGGGCATCACCTGGTTATTCGAACCGAGCATCGGCTATCGCAGGGTCGTTGCCGATCCTCAGCAGCTTGGTGGCGCATTTGCTGTGTCACCTCGAGGATCTGGGCAGGCGGGAACGTGGATACGAGTCTGATGTAAAGAACGTAGGAACGCGGAGGGACAGATATGATATTGCAGCATACCTAAACATCTGTGCCGTCTGTTTTGAAGGAGAACAAAGGAGCTCTTGATCACGACCAAGCAATGTGAAAGAAAAGCTGAGTGCAGGCCGTATGACACGCCGTGCTGTCAAATTTGGCGTCATCCATCACTGTGTTCTTGTTCGACGGCGAGGAGCACAGAAACAGTGAGGCGGGTGACTGAACGTTGGATATTGTGTTTGAGAGGGACTAGGATTTATCAGAATGAGGACGATGACGCGCCACACAATGGTGAGCATGCTATGGACTTGTCGTCGCATGTGGCATTTGTCTACTCCGGAAGCCTTCGTTGCTTGCGTATGCACTGCGCTGTTAGATGTGGGTAGTCATGGTCGAGAGTCAGGGACAACGTGAGATTGATCTAGACACCGGGTGCATCTGCCAGCGGAGCTGGACACGCCCTGCTAGAGAAAGACAGGCGCGAGAGTGAGATGAAATAAGATGATTCGTCGACAGAGCCAGCAAGTGTCGCGCAGAGCTGGAGGTACTTCCTACTCTTTGTTCCACATGGCTTCTGCACGTACGCATTTCATCATTGCATATAGTAGTGTATAGTTGCCAGCACAAAGTCGCGTGGACAATGTTCGCACCTGATGTGATCTTCTGTACGTTCCGGCATGGTCTGGCTGACGGCATATCTCGATTTATGGCAGAGCCTGTCAGCCGTCAGACATATGATTCTACATGACAGACATAACGTAATAATAGAGATATTGCCAAAATGCTGGCTATGAGCGCAGTGGTCAACTCGATTTACAGCAACCTGATGGGGAGCATAGGTTCTGGAGGCAGAATCCGCGCACGGAAAAGAAGCGGAACGAAGAATATATGCGCAACCAAGAGGAAATGAGGTCCAATATGAGTGAGATTATATAGAGTATCGCCACTAGAAGGAGGGATAAACAGAGAATAGCGCCGTACGGTATCATGATAGGAATAGAAGGGCGTCTTGATACATTTTGTCTCTGGTTAACAATATAGTTCAGCTAGACTGCGAAGCAGTATTAAGCGTCACTGACCTAGACAATGTCTATTGCGTGCCGATCAAAACCCTCATCTGCGGCTTCAGGTGCCTCCCAATCGTCGGCGGTCGCCTCATGAGCTTCCCGCTTGCGAACTGACAGAGTGACCGCTCGGGTGCCTGAGGGAGTATTTGCACCGTCCTGAAAATCGTTCGCAGAGCCCAGTTCTTCCGCGCCAGGGTGCCTTTCGAGCTCACAATCCAAGTCATCGTCAAAGGCCTGAGGGTCATCCTCGAGCGTCTCGCCCATGTTGCCAATGACCCTCGTCGCGAACCTTGCGAATGTGCTTCCGAGGGAGGGTACAGTACTTTCATTGACATCGGAGCTGCTTGAGAAATGACGGAGGTTGAGGAAGAAGCGGCATAGAATCACGGTACTGATCCTGTGTGCTGGCATATTCAGATCGCGTCATCAAAGACAGAATCTGTGAACTCACAATTCCACAGATATGGAAAAGTCGAATAAGCTCTAAAGGGATGCGCCTAAGTCATTATGCATGTTCATGGAAGTTGATGCACCCACCTCTGTCGATAATGCGCTTGCAATGTTGGCAACATTGAGGCAGAGTACTAGCCTGGTACAATATGATACATACTCTCAGGAGCGGAATACTAAACTTACACAAAATGGACGGTGCCTATATTCTCAAAGGCGTCGACGCAATATCAGACTATATTGAGGTAGAGCACGCACCGTCACGCAATAACATAGATGCGAGGGATTCTCTGCCATTGAAACCAGTCACTATGCGGTTGGCACGTGTTTCCCGCCATGTTGAGACGACGACCAGAAGATTAGATATGAGGACACATATTCGGGTGGCGAGGAAAACTGAAAGCAATAATTCCATTACCAACGTCCAGGGTTCATACATATCTCAGTTGTCTTACATCTTGAATATCCACGGCTCAGACTTCAGCTTATACAGATAGGTACTGATGTGACATACTTGTTGCTCTTGGAGGCAGAGAATGAGCGTTCGATGGCCAAAATCTCTGCAGTACAGTACACATATTCTTGAGAGCAGCCATACTGTGAGTCGCACGTAAATTAGTAACAGAATATACACAGTGAGATATACACTTACAATATTGAGGGCAACGGGTACAAGCCCCAATATCATCACGACGGAGGCATTTCTCCACTGCCGGCCATCAATAGCAAAGACTCGGATCGAGGCAAATGCTGTCAACAACTTATAATTAGACTGTCACACCGGAGAGTGAAGGCAGACATACCTGCCTGGGCAAGATACGTCCCGCAGAGAGTAACTACCTCAAACAAGTAAGAGACCCAGAAGCTAGAATCAATTTAGTTGAGCATTCCCGTCAAATGCATTTGAGCTCTAGACAAATTAACCCCTGGAAGCGTCATGAGCTAGGATACTAAGGAAGAGTACGAGGACTCACTTCACATGCTTGCATGTCGTCTATAATGACACTCGCAATGACACTTGCCAAGGTCACGTAGCGGAGAGCAACATATATAGCAGCTGCACCCGTGATTCTGCGAGCCCAGACAGCTCGCCATTCCATATTGAAGGAAATGATGGAATCATACACAAAGATGCCTAACCCACGTGTCAGTGCGGGCTGCATTCACCAAGATCAGCATATACGCACTCATGGTCATGATATCAATGTAGTCACCGATCAAGCTGTGTCATTAGGGTAAAGTCTGTATCAGCACAAGGAAAAGCATTAAGCGAGTAAATAAGCTTACCCATACCATATCAATTGAAGAACTCGTTCTTTATTCATGCTAGACTCAGACATGATAGCTGAAACGAGATGGATGGTGGCATATCCGCATCTGACCTATATATGCGTGTCAAGCATCTCACTATATGACTTCTTTCGCTCGGCGTACAATTCCCGACTGTCCATGTAGGCTTACTGAGCATATCTGATCAACAGCCAGAAGATCGACATAATCACCGGAACCAATTATGTGCATCACTTCATCAGAGTAGTAAGACGACAGGACGTGATATGGAGAACTCGCCTACAAGGTCTAGTCTGAGTCGAGACTCGGATTAGCAGCATATGGAGCAATGATCTACCAGAGTGCGGCCCTCTAAAGAGATTATCAATCATGATGAAGAGGGGCCGCGTGAGCACAGCTAGATCACCTGTACACAGTCAACAGAAGATGTAGCTATCTTAACACTGCATGATTCTTCGTACCTTGTTCATTTGATCAGCATATTACAGCGAGGAATGATAGGTGCAGAATGAGTACATAGTATACAGCTTTTGAAGCAACTTTGTACATGCATTTGCCGCCGTGCCTCCAGACGGCCGTTATTACCTGCTTCTTGACCCCAATTTGCCGCACCAGCTCAGAACAGACGCAGAATCGGAGCATTACGGGAGCTTGAGGGGAACGGATGCAGTCTGCATGTATTTGATGGCAAAAGAGCGCCAGCGTTAATCGCAAGGCACAGATTACTGTACAGTCCGAGTCCAGGCCTTCCTGTGCAAGAAAAAAGGCACAATCCGCAGCATCGAGGGAGCGCAACTCGAAGTCGATACAATTGCGGCCGGGAAGTGAAATGCCACGAAAATACGAACGGCAGGAGACATATTGAGCCGTCGACAGTGTGCCAAAATCGTCCGCGGGCGATAGATACTGCTAATAGCCGAATCCGTGCATCCCCGCATATGGGACGAGACGTTACAGGACGTATCGCCACGTAGCTTCACCGGCCATGGGAAACGGATGAAGTAGTACTGCTATGCCAGAAGTTCAGTTCAGGGGGCAACAAAGATGGCATCATCGCCCAGCGATGATCAACAGACGCGAAGGGCCCGTTATAAACTTGATGCTGGTCACGCATTGCACATCATAGTTGCCAGAAAGACCATGTCAGGTCTTCTACAGAGCTTCTGCGGGCATCCGGTCATAAATCATGCTCGTTGCAGACTAGAACTCCCAGTGTGACCGTGTCAACGGGCATAGTGGAAGGATTTGGAGAAGGATACAAGCGAATTTCGACAGCGTTAGAAGAAAGAGAGGAGCAGGAAAATAGAAGGTCATATGATGTACCCACAGCTGGCATCAAATTCGCTCCCCATATCGCCAGCCACGTACTGACTCGCGTGGAGTACCACAAGGCGCACTCCGGAGAACGGCTCAATCCATCACGAACATCTGGATGAGGTCGACCAAAGAGTGCGCGACTCGCGTGCCATGTCGGAAAGCTCCCGTATCCCATCTAGACTGCCGGTATGGACATTTGGTCCTGGTTGGGAGCTCACATGGATCACGTCTGGGGTGCATGATAGAGACTGCCTGTCGCCAGTATGAACGACATAAGGAGAATACACCATATTGGGATGTGTTAACTCTGGGGACGTCCGGCCGGCTGACGCGGTATGCGGATGGCTCGGGTTGGGAGCATATTCCACGGGATGGGGCGCGTGGCCAGTCCGTGAGCAAACGAGTGCGAACGGAGTAGGAAGAGAATATGTGTAGTGTCGTGTAGTGGATAAACGCACCGTAACGAGAGACCCGGTCCGTACAAATGACTATAGAAAGCAATACGCTTACTAATTGCAAGTTCGAATGTACACCACCTTTGCCTCGCAAGATAGTACCAACAGGGACGACAAGTGGTAATATCGATGGTTTCTGTAAGGTGCGCACTGGGTACGACAGAGCACGACGTTCGACGGGCTGCTCTGAATCAAAACAGCACTCGTAAGCGTGTATGACTAACAAACGGCGGACGTAAACAAATAGCTTGACATTGACATCGAATAGACACAGAAACACAACAAAAGGACTTACCTCGGATGATATCTGTTGAGGTGCAGACATCGAGAGGGTTACAAGTACGTCTTCTTCACTTGATAGTTACAGCGCGCGTTTTGGGTATCAGCACACCCGCACAATCGAAACATACATGAATCAAGCGATGGGCATGGGAAATGTGGCGGAAAGCAAACACAGTCGGAGGACGACCGATCACATCGGCCTCCTCGGCCCGGTCTTGCCGCACCAACACTGCTCTCACTCTCACTTCCGTTTCTACGACACTATCTTGTGTCTGCTTCACCTGCTCAGTCGACGTCTCCACTCTGCAGGCCAGAGCTCTGCTGTCGTTGATATCGCAAGAACCATCGCAGCGCCGACCCCTCGCTGGAGCCTCCTCGTTAGCCTCTCCGTGTGACGTGTGAAAACGGCGTCACATCCTTAGAAAACATGTCGAAGATCAGAGCCAATCGTGGTGGAGAATGTTGATCCTTCAAGTACACTGCATGCTGGCGGCGCTTGATGGCCGACAAGACGCGTTGGGCCTAGGAGAGGTAGACTGACGTATTGCGCAGAGGCAAGGTGGCTCCAGGTTCGTTCTCCGATACGGCTTGAACTCAGCTCGTCTACAGGAAGGGCTCATTTGTGCCCCATCAGATCTGCAGTCTGGACGACTGCGGTCTGTGGGCGACACAGCCTCTAGTCCTCGTAAGATGAGCTCTCGAACATCGACACAGTTCCGCAGATCCCTTCGTGTCTCACCTACGCCCATCGTGGGGGGCAGTGTCCTCTGTTACCGATGCGGCAATCACCTAATTCTAGCCTGTGAGGTCGTGCTCTCCAACCCCCTCGCGCTCGCTCGCACCTCATTCCACTGCGTCCAATACTTATTACCTCCATCCTTGTCGGACGGGGATCTACTTTAGCATCGAACAACGATGGTGAGTAATGTGATCTCTTGTTGGGATTTCATGAGCTGACCTTTGACCTAGGCGGATGAGAACGGTGCGTTGTAGCGTGTCTGGTAGTGCCTCAGGACCTTCGCCTCTCATCGGGCCCATGCACCCGTAACGATGTCTCGACTAATGCTCAACGGCCTGCCGTTTCTATCAATACTTGCTCTGTCACCAATGTGTGCCTCATGAGGACTTCCTGACGCAGAAATTGCCCACGGCCGATGATCGCTTTCTGGACCCCCGCATAGCTAGTATGATGCTGTTCGACTCTGGACTGTTGGCAGGAGAACACGCAAATACATTCAAGCGTAGTTTGTATGCTCTCTCGACCTCCTAGTCTGGCGAGAACCCTGCTCGGTCTTACCTCTGCGATACACTGGAAGGTGTTTGATTCCGGGTCCTGCCAACGACACTGATTGTACTACACGGGAACAGTACGCTCAAGGCCTGCATATATCAGAGCAATGCGTTCAAGGCAGTCGATCTCGAAGTTTCAAGTATGATTTCGGCCCTTCCGATGGATCGAGAACTTGGAGTGTCGGCTGTACGTACGCCTTTCCACCCAATGTATGTATCTGTTCTCTTACAAGCTGTTTTCTATTCCACACCGCCAGCACCATGGCGCGTTCGCGCATGTTACAGGAGGCCCGTGCCGCAGCTCCACATTCATACTCGCGTGGTCGGGACAACGCTGTGCGCTGCCGCAAGTTATTCTTGGTGCGAATGGTCTTCGCTCTTCTTTTATCTGTCCTCCCGCTGCATTCTCCGTCTCGGCACTTTGTTACAATATGTTACAAGTAATTGCCCGGGGGGTTATCTCGAGTATAGTAGTGCAGACCGATGTGGTAACCGACATGTTTTATAACAAGAATGGGGTGCGACATGATCAAATTTATGCAGGTCTTCCTACCATTTGGACATTGTGAATGCGAGGAAGAGCAGATGGAGCAATACGATAAATATTGACCGCGAGTTATGAGTGTCACTGAAAGTGTAGAGACGTTTATCTTAGCAAATATGAGTTTGGGAGAGGAATTGTCGCTATAGCACAGGGGTCGGTATATGCGCCTAGCAAACAAGTTGCCTTCGATAAGCTAAACGAAAGTCACTACTGAAAGCGGCAGTATTTCGCCCAATGCATCATATCTTGGAGTGCCACCGACTAGACGATATCTATTGTACAATGATTAAAATAGCTCCGCGCTTCCCTCGCAAGGTTCCCGCTTCCGTCAAATGGGTTATTGTAGCCCGATCCTCGTCGACTTTGGAAATGGCATTTACAACATCGTGAAGCCCATCTGCCGGCTCTAGTTCTCCTGCATCATGGAGGTCGTCTACCGGCAAAGCCATTGTCAAGGGCCTGAGGATTTCCTCAAGCATATAACTCGAGGTGTCGATCGCACCCGCCGCGACGCTCAAGAACGAGCTTCCCGTGGAGGGTATAATGCAATCCTCCGCTTCGAAGAGGTCAAGGGAGTTGTGAAGCTCGAGGAGGAAGCGACATAAGACCTGCAAACGACAGGTGCGTACGCTATCCGCCAGATAATACTGGACTCTTACATGACCTTCTTCGCCTTTGACCGACTCCGGGCTCGATACTGATGCCGCTGGAGGCAGGGCTGAGGATCGCGATAGGCTTGAAAAACTCGACCAGCTAGGGATGGATGTCAACCAACTAGGAAAGAAATATACGTGAAGCATGTCATACAGCGATGGACCATGGAGAAGGTGGCGCTGACAGTTTTTGTCCAGGGCTCGCGCCATTCTTCTCGTCTCCGTGCCGCCGGCGTTCGACGGCGGCACAGACTAGCTTGACGCAGACGACTATTGGTGCTGTTATGGCACCACCGTCTGTAGTCAACCACAAGCAATGGCCGCAAGCAAAAGCCGTATATGACTTACTGGAGTTGATGGTCTACGAAGGCAGTGTTGATCGTCAGGTCGCGCACTCGACTCATAATGCCGCAAACCAGACCTGACAATACACTCGTGACAATGGCTACTGCATTGCGCATATCGTCCGGGATTGGCGTGCGGGTGCCGTTGAATTATTCGTCTGCACTCAGAGATAGCATGAATATGTGGCAAAGTATGCAGCAAATGACGACAATGCGGAAAAACGGAACAAATACACTCCAGTAGCAGCCACTCACCATCACCTCTCCAAATGACAGTCGCCAAGACCTCTCTCACAGCAGGTAAGCGACACTTTTCAAACAGGACAGTGTCCAAGATCGTACCGAAGCTAAGGTCAACGACGGTAACCACGTCATTCTCAATACGTGCTCACCAATTGGCGGCACGGGTCATGATTCCCGAGACGTTTCGGTAATGACGATGCCGCGGTCTATGCAGAAGCTTCCGTAAACCTGGGCCCTCGCCGAGTCCGCCAGCCTTGACACCGGGATAATTGAAAAGGGATGGCCACAATGCTTACTGGTAGATTGCGCGAGCCAACACTATGATGTATGCGATGAACATGTTGAGCTTCTCACCTTGAGACGTAAGATGAATACTCTGGAAGCAGGAGAGGCAACCATGGCTCATTTCTCCGCTCGTGCCGCTCATGCCTCAAAGGACGCCTGCTTCGTTGGTCGCGACACCCTCCAGATTGTTTCTGGGGGAGGGACGGCTATATGGACGTGGGGGACTTGGCTTCGGTTCCCAGCCGGAAGATTGCCAGGCGGTAAAGCCCTCTAGAAGCATCTGGGTTTACCGGTACCAAATTCCCCCAATGACATGTGTCGCGATGCTGTCTATGCCAAGCTCCACGCAGTTCCGAGCTTCTCTTTTCCCGAACAATGCGACGTAGTCGGGCGAGTACGGGACGCGAGATAGGTACGAAGAGTGCGATGTGGGCCGCGACGTGTCTGCGCGGTGATCATCGGTGCTTCAAAATAACAAGTGGTGGATTTAGGTGCGAGCCGTGCCAGAGGAAGACAGGCGAAGTGCGGAAGCCAACTTGAGGAGGCATTCAGCGTGATCGAACATACGACAGATCAGATCTTACTGGGGATCGCATCGCACGGGCGTCTATTCCGAGCCATGTCAGAACGTTTCTCAGGGAATGTCACGGCAATGCGTAGATATTTACTCAACCGCTTGACAGAGGATGTCGATGAAGAACAGGAGTTCTCCAACGCGAGTCGAAAGTTTTGCAGTAAAAAAAGGGTATCAGTATGTACAAATACCCTGTACCCTCAGTCTTGTCTGTCCTCAGAGGCGACGGCCTCATGGACATGGCTGTCACGTCAAGTACAGGGGAACTGACAAACTACGCTCGCACACCTATCTCGAGGTATGTATATGAGAGAAACAACTCCCACTATGCACTCACGAACACTCACTGGTCGCTCGCCGCCGTAATAGGCATCTGAGTGTCACTGTGTCACGCATGAACGGCGGTTGCAAAAGACCAGTCTGCGAACAAAAGCAGACGCGTGCATGTGGATGATTGAGCTCGATTGCTATATAGAGAGCTAAGTTGGCTGAGCTGAGCTTCCTGATGATGCAGTCGTAGCTGACAAGCAATATAAGAAGGCAGTCGCTGGAGCGGCGAGGCGTTGCGTTCTGCTGATTACAGGGCTGCGGTACGGCTCGCAAAGCTTGAGGTTGCAATTGAACTTGATAAGCAGCCACATGATGGCAAAGAATATCTGGGGAGACAAGATTTCCATCCATAGCGAAAGATGGGGATGAAAGCATGTGTGCGTTACCAAGAAGAGAAGAGTAAGCGAGGTACAAAGTATGTCTGAACGGACGAGTCCCACAGCTGGAAGCGAGTGTATCTGGCAGACTGCGTCATATACACACGTGAAAAGAATCGAAAGGGTTGTTTCCTGTTGATAGTACACCTTCAGTAACGCTGCAGATCGGTACGAGTGTCACCAACCTAGACAAATTTCGTCACGCGCTGGTGAAAATCCTCATCTGGGGCTTCAGGCAACTCGCGGTTGGCAGTGCCTCCCTCGCCAGTTGCCTGCTTGCAAACTGCGGTAGTGGTCGTTCCAGTCTGAGCCTTGTTGGTACCTGAGGGAGGCTTTTCACAGTCGTCGAGATCTCTTGCCATATTGATTTCTACAGCATCATTGAGCCCATTCAGATCGCCTTCGAAGTCATCGTTAGGAGCCTGAGTGTCGCCCTCAAGCATCTCGCCTAAATTGCCAATGATCCTCGATGCGAAGCTTGAGAACGAGCTTGCATGGGAGGACCTACAGCTGTTGTTGACGTCCGGACTGGAAAAATAGCGGAGGTTGAGGAAGAAGCGGCATAGAACCACGGTACTGATACTGTGTGTTGATACTTTGAGAGCGTGGTCAAAGAGAGAGTCTGTTCACCTACAATTCCGTGGGTCCGGAAATGTCAAGGTATTCCTGGACAGACACTGCTGAGTGATTATATATAGTTGCGTGAATTGTACTTGCCCCTAGGAGTAATGTGACCGCAATGTTGGCTGCATTGAGCCCGACCACTAGCCTGCAAAGATACGCTATAGTATAGCATCATAGGCGAGAAAGTTGACTTACGCGAAGTGGACAGTACCTACATATACATTTGCATGAGCACATTCACACTCTATGGAGGAAGAGTGCGCACCATCACGGAATAGAACAGCCATGAGGGATCCTCTGCTACTCCATGCAGTCACTCCTTGGTTGGCGCGCGTTGCCTGCCATGTTGAGATGACGACCAGGAGATTCAACATGAGGATGCATATGCGGGTGATGAGAAGCACTAGGAATACAATGAATGTATCATATTCTGGATCGGAAGACATGCATATCAGTTTGGCTTACATCTAGCGCAGCCCATTAAGCTTCACCAGGTGTGATCAACTACTGACGTGACGTACATATTATTCTCGAAGGTAGAATATGAGAATCCAAGGTTGCAGGACTGTGCAGTATAGGTCAAATATGTCTTAGACACAGCATACTATGAAAGATGCATAAATGAGAAACGGACTTTTTACAGGGAATTGCATACTTACAATGTTGATAGCAACTGGCACAAGCCCCAACATCATCACGATGGCGGCCTTCGTCCACCGCCGGTTGTCAATCGCATAGACTCGGATCGACACAAATGCTATCAGTCACATGATATCATACTGTTGCATCAGAGAGTGAAGGCAGGCATACCTGCTTGGGCAAGATATGTCCCGCAGCCTGTACTTATGTAAACTAAGTGTGAGATATAGTAGCTAGAACAAACATAGTTGAGCATTCGAAACAAGCACAGTACAAGTCCAAACATAAGTCACCCCTGAAAATGTCATGAGCTAGGATGATGGGAAACAGGATGAACACTCACGGCACATGATGTTATGGTAAATTCAATGACAAACATAATGATGTTCAGCAATGTCACGTAGCGGAGAGCTAGGTATAAAGCAGTCGCTCCCGTGATTTTGCGAGACCAGACGGCCCGCCATTCCAGATTGAAGGAAATGACGGAGTCATACACAAATAGGCCTGTTCCGTGCATCAGTGAGGGCTGCATTTACGCACATCATCATGTACATACACATAGCCACGATGTCAATATATTCCCCTATCACGCTGCGACATCAAAGCACAATATGTATCAAGGCATGAAAAAGCACCCATTGAGCGAGTCAGCTTACCTATACTGGTAAGACTGGATGAGTTGGGCTTCATCCATGCTTGACAAAGACATGACAACTAGAATGGGATGTAAGTATGCCAGCAGCTCACGTATATATGCGTGTCGAGCATGACACCTGTCCATCAGGTGAGTACAAGATGATCAGTTGTGCGAGGCAGATACAAGGTGAGGTGAGATTCGACTCCAAGGGCATCACTTGTTCATGCCTGGGTCTCCTGTTTGTCTACCACCGAGTCAATCAGCTCGGATAAGGATGATGCGACACACACAGACAGATGGCGACACCGGGACCTGGCACAACCTACCTGAGTATATCTTGCAGGTCACGAAGGCGGTACCCTCACGAGGATTATGTCGGTCATTTGACGATGCATATCACTGTGAATACCGTCGTAAAGTACTGGGGTTAAAATAACCACACTGCTCCTTTCGCCCGATGTGCAACGTCCGGCACGAATGATCCTATTGGTCTCGATGCAGATATACAGAGCATATCACAATGGCCGTGCTGCTATCGACCGGCAGGATCTGGCAAGATATGTCAAGATGAGCGGATGCTGCGCAGCCTCCGAAGAAGCGTTACCCTCGCGCCTCGCTTGTTTAGCTCAAATGAGACGCAGAATGGAGACCGAGTGGTCAGATTTCATTTGCTAGGCCATAACTCACGGGACAGTATGCCAGGCTATAGGGAAACTGACGCAATCCACAGCAATGGATGGCTCATGCCCAATCCTGTTCCATCCCCACATATGATGAGGTGAGATGCAGGGCGTAGCGCCACGCGAACTAGCTGTGGAATATGGACAAGAAAGTACTGCTCTGGAAAGCATTCAGTTGATGAAGGAAACGGAGGTGGCGTTGTTGCCTAACAATGAACAAAGGACATGAACATCCCTTTTGAGGCACAGCGATGATAGTCGCAATTATCACTGTTCGTCACGGTTGCTGGCCGGCCCATATCAGGTCCATCTGCAAACTCGACGATGCCTACGCGGGTCTCGCATAGCCCGCGTAGGTCCCATAGGCATATTGCCAGCCCCCCATCTACAGGAGTCCTGTGTAGCACGGCAGTCCTACAGGAGGACTCTGTAGCCCGGTAGTCACATAGACATATTGGGCTCTGTAGGCATGCGTAGACACAGATGGATCCCGATTGCCGTCATTACATCACGCAGCCTAGATCTAGTTTTGTCACGAATTGACATGGCATCTAGCCGTCTTTTAATTTTTCCTTTTTCCGGGTTCGAACCCGCGACCTCTATACTATATGCCCAATATGGACACCTCGTTATCTACTGTATGATTAGATTAGATGGGTGGCAGTGCGCGGCATAGCTCGGGCTCCGCTGACATAGCCATGATGACTCACTGGCCCCCGGGGCCGTGTAAGCATGCTGTGCACGGACCAGCTGCGCACGGACCAGTGTGCACAGCCTGCCCTCATCCTCCCCTGTATATAAGCCTGCCTCTGCTGCCCTAGGGACCTCAGTTTCGACCTCTTGTCCCTAGGTCAGTAAGCCCCTGTACATACTTACTTTCCTATGCTAACTTAACTTGTCCCTAGCCTTAGGTTTGAGCCTAGCTCACCATCGCTTCGGTGAGATAAGTCAAACACCCCCAGCATTTGGTTTTTCCCCTGTCGCTCGACCCTAAGTCGCGACATATACGCATCTGCGGAACAGCAGGAGCCCTTGTTCGGCATTCCACTCCTCAAAGCCCCGTTGCAGCCATGGCGGTCCGAGGTCCTGCACCTTTTCAAGTGCCTCGGCCACCTCCCGATCCTTCTCCGAACATTCCTTGATGCGCTTCAGAAGTGACTGATCGGCCGTTACCAAGGCATGACTGCGTCGGGCGGAGGCGATGCGGAACCTTTCAGGTCTGAGAACCACCTGATCGGTGTTATTGTCCTCATCACTGACCTGATGGTCTGATCGTTGTTGTGACTTGAGGTCAAGCGACAGGAGAAAACCTAAATGCTGGGGGCATTTGACTGGGTCTCACCGAAGCGATGGTGAACAGAGCTCAAACCTAAGGCTAGGAACAAGATAATATATTAGTGAGGTAAGAAAAGGAATACAAAGGATGCTTACTGACCTAGGGACAAGAGGTCGAAACTGAGGTCCCTAGGGCAGCAGAGGCCGGCTTATATACAGGGGAAGATGAGGGCAGGCTGTGCACACTGGTCCGTGCGCAGCTGGTCCGTGTGCAGCATGCTGATGTGGCCCCGGGGGCCAGTGAGTCAGAGCGGCTGTGTCAGCGGAGCCCGAGCTGTGCCGTGCACTGCCGCCCCATCTAATCTAATCGTACTATCACAAAACCTACAAACCCACCTTATAGCTTGATATTGAGGGGGGGAGATAATAGCACTTAAGTATGGGGAGGTAATGCTGTTAAGCGCAACAACGAAGTGAATAGAACTGGGGGACAGGGTGCCCCAGGATGCTGCCTTATATACATGAGGGAAAACCCCCCAGGGACCGGTAATGGACCCCTGGTACCTAGCTGGGTAAGGATTACTAAGTATCATGTGCTCTATGATGTCATATATGATGTCATAGTCTGGCCCTGCCCTGCCCTGGGCCTAGGGTCCAGAATTGACCGGCCTATGGCCTAGTGCCTGAGCCTAGCTCCTACCTATGATGTCAGAATGATGTCATGGTCCAGAAGGAGTCTGGTTTCTATCTAGAAAAGGTCCGGCATCAGAGTCCAGCCTGATGTGTCCAGAACAAGATCATGTGTCGCTTATTTAAGCGGATAACCCCTTAGATATGCAGCTGTACCCATATGCGGACGGATAAGTATGGATAAGTCCCTATTACCC